TTTTTGCTGTGACATTTTTGAATGTTATCTCAAACGTTGTTTATATTTATTTATCAAAATTTTCTGGTAAATTATTTAAATGGTAAATTAATTTTTTATTACATTATTATTTAGCATAAAATAATAAGGATTTTGCAATAGCGTATACCATGGCAATTGGAAACAATATACGCAATAAATTATTCATCTTTTTTATAAAATTATCACAATTATATGATCCCGGAAACAATGATTGTTATATTTGAATAAATTGAACAGAAAAATACCATCAGTTTTATAATCATTACATTTCGTTCAAAATTTAACCTTTGCGAAAAAGAAACAAGGAATATTTGATTTCTTCAAACTTCATCCGCTTCAAATATATCATCATAAGTTATCTGTTTAAAATACAAAAGTTTGGTTTAGTAAAATTTTTTACAAAAGCACAAAAAATTTCTGTTTTTATTAATCGTAATAAAATAATAATAATTGCAGCAAACAATTGATAAGCAGTTATCGGTATGCTAGTAAAATGTAATACTTTCGAAAATTTTTTTAAACTTCAACAAATTCATTATAATGTTATAAATTTTACAAGTATTATAAGGATTATACTATTATAATATATTATAAGTAATGTTATAACGATTATATATTGCACAATTTTGTAATAATTTCTGCTTTCGATTTCATTTTATATTCATTATTAGCATTTAATTTTCTACAATATAATTTTATTACTTTATCATCATTTTCATTTATTCTTCCCACAAGTATTGCGGTGTTTCCATCAGCAATTACTATTATTCATGCTAATCGATTAGAAAATTAATACAGAAATAAAGTGATATCTATTTAATTTTGTATGATTACTGTGACACTTCTTACATTATTACGGTAGTACTTCCTGTGTAGAATTACTGTAATGCTTGCTTTGTATTCTCAATTCATTCATTTTATCGGGAAAATTGAAAAAAAAATTATAATATATGCATTTATTCATATTTAGGAATGATTTTCAATGAAGGACAACATATTCCTTCAATTCCTTCAATTAGATGTTGACGGTGAGACTTTAAACATTTCATAGCGCGGCATATACTCTAAGCATTATTCATTGGTTTATTAAAATTAAAAAAAGGATGGTGAGGATATTTGGAAGGAATTGCAGTTGGATTATTTTTTTTTGTTGACTTCTATCTTATCAATACCCTTATCATTATCAGTAGTATGTTACGATGAAAGTTATCATTCTTTTTATATGAAAATCTTTTAATGCGGCATTTCTTGTTTCATTCAGGAAAATTATCTATTGAATGGATGCATAAAATGAGGAAACGATGGGTAATCGGGAATCATCAACGTCTGCTTCTTCTTTCGCTTCTTTAATTAGCTTCGATGACGCTCGAAATTTATGTTAGTTTGTGAATTTTCCATCTTTTTTTAAGGAATGAATTCAAATTTGAATAATTTCATTCTAAATGAAAACATGTGTTTTATTATGGAAATTTATGAATTCTCTTTTTTTTCGTTTCAGGAGAAAAAATACGAGTTGCACTTTTTTTAAAATATAGACTTCTACTTTCTTAAACAGCGATTAGTTTCTTTTTTCAGCATGTAGTGATTTGGATTTTTTCTTTGCTAATTGTATACTTTTATTATGAAGTGGAATTTTCATTCTATTTGCTAACTTTTTGATAATTGCTTTTGATGATTATCTTATACTTCTGACAACAAAAAAAATTGAAAAGACTTTCCATAATCTGGAATAGAATACAGCGTGAAGTGATGCTCGACATACAAATGTTGAATTTTTTCGCATCAAGCACTTTATGACGAGAAATTTTTCGTATATTTTTCAGTGTTTTTATTGAATTTAATGGGTTTTTTTAAAAATAAGGGTCGAATTTTACTATAAGATTTAATGGGGACAAAAACAAAACTCTGTTCTGATTTTTTATTTAGGTCACTTACCATTGCAGTAAGTGGAGATGAATTAAAACGATTGGAAACGGCATGGGATGGTCGAGATTTAATTACAGAAGATGAATTTTTTGCCGATATTCTTTGCCATCCGGGAATTCCACATACCATACGTGCACGTATTTTCGCCAAATTTTGTCAGGGATCATCTAAACTCTCATTTCAATGTTTTGTCATTGGAATTGTTCTCTTGACAAAGGTGGATAAGGACATCCGACGTGGTATATTCTTTTTTGTTATTTCCATTTATCAGCATGATAGGAAATGATTTTCAGCTTATTGAGACTAAATTTCAATATGTTTAATTGGAGTGATCAAATTGTGAGAACGGACTTAATGCAAACAAAATATTTCAGAATTTTTGAGAAGTGAACGTGAATTAGAACTTTGGATTGAACAACCGCCTCAGCTGACATCTCGCCATTCGGAAATTCACTATAACTTCTATCAAGTACTTGCGGGTGTTACACATCGTAAATTTTGATATATTGTTGTTTTGAATTTCAACTTGGGGAATTAATTAATTGTTAAATAGTATTCCTGGTCTAAGAGTTAAGCATTAAGTTTTCTGTTATGAAATTTTCATGGATCTTTGCAAAAAACGATTATAATAATGATCTGATAGTCCTCTTTTCTTCTTGTTTTCCCTTTTTCAATTTTTTTTTCCATTTTTTATTTCTCCCTCTTTATTCATTTGAAAAACACTCTCGAAGTTTGGGCAAGCATCTGTGTATGAGATCCAAAACTCTTCTTGGATGCATGTATTGCAAATACTAACATATTTTCCTAGGCTACATAAATCGGATATTTATATGTGTTTATGACTTTTCATGCGGAATACAGTAAATTTGTTTATTTGTTAAGTGATTATGCAAAGTCATGTATGTCCAGATTTGAGCTTTGAAAATTTCAGTGGATGAGCAAGAAGTTGAAGAGTTGGAAAAAGTTTTTGGTTCGATCAACGATACTAAATTGTGCAAACTTACTAGGAATGGTTTCGGTGCGTTAGTTGGCGGTGCTATTGCGAATTATTTCATTAATGGCTTATTTCGCGCATTTGATGAAAATGATGATGGATTGGTGGATTTCAAAGAACTTGTTTGTGGTCTTTCTGCTTCCTGCCGTGGACCACACACTGCTCGTCTTAATTGTAAATTAACCGTTATTTCTTTTCAGCATATTTTTCTCCTTATCTTGGATGAAGATTTTGAGATGTTAATTTCAAAAAAAAAAAAACTTCGAGGTTAATTTGCAAAAAGCGTGCTTTAATAGTATTTCAGTTATTGCTCAACTTTTTGACTCAGATGGTGATGGTTATTTGTCAAAAGAAGACATTCATTCCCTTTATGCGCATTTAAATCTCGTAAGTGCTTTTTATATTCACGAAATTCAGGTGGTACTTTCTTCATTCCTCATGATTTTTTTCCTTAATATTTTTTGACTTTCAAATTTTATGTACTTAGCATTTGATTTCCTACCTGTTCTTTCTACTGCTGTTTTACAGGATGAAAAAGTACAAACTATACATATGGATGAATTGGGTCGTGCATCTTTAACAGATTTTGTTTGTTGGGCAAACGAGACAAAATGTGTGGACAATTTGCTTGAAATAATTGTTCAGGTTATTTTCAATTTTGAGTCTATTATTATATTTCGAATAAATTAAACATTAAACACAGAATTTTTAAACCAAACTATTCTTTCAAAATTTTTAGCTTGGACACATTTGTTTGGGATTGCATCCAAGTTCTGCGGAGATTGAACTGACGGTTGTATGGTGAGCTCTTAAATTATTCATACTATGAAAATTTATCGGAGGGCCATGAAATTTAACTTAGATATTGTTATAATATAGAGTTCGAAGTATGCTATGTTGTTTATGGTTTTGAATTATCAAAAAAAGCGTCATTGGAAGTTTTTTTTTCCCTCAGCATTTACAGAAACTTTGGATTCTAAAAAATGTCATGAAATATATTAAAACTTATTTAAATTGTTTCATTTGAAGTGGATTCAAGCAACGTGTACAGTTGGATGCATTCACCGAGTGGAATGTTGTTTCATCGGAATGGTGGCGGCAATGGGTACATGCGTTGATGTCAAATTCTAAAGTGCCTGCTATCAATAATGCTTCAATTATTACTGTCAAACAGAAAAATGATTGGTCTTATAAGGTCCTTTTGTCATTCTTCTTTTTCAGTGACAAAATTTTATGCTTGCTAATAAAATTTATAGAAATTAAGGGATAGATTTTTTCTATGGTATAATTCATAATAGTCAAATGTGTCAATGTTTTTCGTCTTAAATAAAAACTTTTAATCCTCTCTTTTTTATTTATTGCACTCCATCACTTTTAGATTCCATCCTTATCAAATGAAGGTGCTCCTTTAGCACAGAACTTAGTGCTAAACAAGGATTTCGAAGTTTTAGCACCTTGTCTCTGGAAAGCATTGTTGCGTTGGCACGGAAGTGCTGCTCGTGAGGGTATTTCGCTTCAGCGGCGTATTCTTCCAGCAAAAATTATAGATCCGGCAGCAGCAAATCCTACAGAACCTGTTATCGAGCTATATCCACTAACCTTATTGATTTTAAGACACGGTACTGCTTCCGGAAGCTGGTTACATTCTGCTTTTGGTTTGTGCTAATTTTTTAAAAATGTTTTTTTTTCTCATTAACTTGCAAGAAAATTCATTTCAGCTTGTAAATTTGAATTATTTGTGAACATTATTTCACTACGTTATTATATTTTCTTTTCATTGAAACTTTTGGTAAGATAATCAGCAAAAAAAATCATTATTAAAAATAAAATCTTGTGTAAAACTGAGAAATTTAAATGTTGCTGAAATTCAAGGTCGAAAAATACTTTTGAATTTCTGCATTACAGAATGGAGTAAAGAATCTTCTCTTCGAAGATTACCGTGGTGCGTGGTGTCGGAATCACGTATTTGTACTGTTGAGAAATTGCTTGAACTTCTGACGCATCAGTTACACATAAGTGATGTCGAATCAGCTCGCTTATGGACTGTTGAAATTGATGGTTCACCGTGCAAGCGATTACTTGACAATGATTCAGTTACTCTTAATGATCTCAAAATTCGTCAGAGCGCACAAGTACGCTAAACTTTATGCCTTTTTTTTTCGATTTGCTTAAAATTCTTCCGTTTTACTTTGGTGTGTGGTAATAATATGGACAATGATGCTTTATAGTATAGTTTTGCATATAAAATAATCGTCTTGATTAATGTATTCGGCAATCATACAAGGTAAATTGTTGCAGTTTATGAAAGTAGCAGCACAGGGATATCAAGAAAGATTAGTAATAATAATGCGGTCACGGTAGATATCCATCACAAATAGTTTTATTGTGTTAAATATTTTATACGAGCTATTTTATCAGGATTAATTTTCAGTTGCTTCTGGAATTACGAAACGCTGACATGAGTTGGCCGGAAGAAGTTAGCTGTTTAGAAAGCAGCAATGCTGAAAGTTATACTTCGGACAATTCTGATTCATCATATGTTCTTGGTATTACTGGCTTGTATAATATGGGTAATACATGCTATATGAATAGTGCTCTGCAGTGTCTCAGTAATACACGACCACTTACAGATTATTTTCTTGAAGGCCGACATAAAGATGATATGAAAGGGTTAGTATTTTAATTTTTATTAATTGAAATGTATGAATAGTTTGAAGCATTTACTTCTATTTTTTGAAGGTTAAAATCAAAAGGGATGGTAGCTACAGAATATGCAAACGTTGTGAAAGAGTTGTGGTCTGGTAAAAAACGTAATATTGCGCCTATTAAATTACGTGTAAGGATTCTTTTTTCTCTCTTGAATTTTTTGAAATGGAGTAGTTAAGGATTGCTTTCCTCTTGGCAATCTGTTATTTATATTTTAAGCTTTTCTTCACATCTGTAATATTTTTTTACTGATATAGAATTTGCAAATTTCTCTCAGATATTCTGAAATTGATTGGAATCAAAAGGAGGAAGTTTCAGTCTTGCTAAGTTTTTGATTTTGGTCATATACATGCTTAATTTGAAAACTTTTTTAACCTCATCCTTTCTCAGGAATGCAGAAATACTCTGTCACTTTATTCATTTCTTTTTTGTTTTATTGTTTACTACTTTATTTTCATAATCTTTTGACAAAATAATCTTTTCGTGATCTCTCCAATGATTTTTTTTCTTTTTTGCTTTTTCCGCATTTAGTAAGATTGCGCTATGTTTATCATTCAACAAAGTTCACATTATTCTCCTTTGTTAATTCAATTCTACTCTTTTCCAAATATGAAAAAGATGTTAATTAGGAGACAAGTATTTTGAATTGAATGGCGATAATTTCTCAGGAAGCGATTAGATGTGCTGGTTCAATGTTTGCTGAACGCTCACAACATGATTGTCAAGAGTTTTTATCCATTTTGCTCGATTTACTGCATGAAGATTTAAATCAAATTGAAAGCAAAGTATTCATCGAACTTAACGATAGCGATGGTCGTCCGGATTCTATCGTTGCCAAAGAGGTATTTTGCTATGTTTCACCGGAATAAATTGTGTGAAAAAAGGCATTAGAAGGGTGAATGATGATTGTTGATTGTAATGATAGGATTTATTCGTATTTACTTTGATTCCAGAGTAGCATATTCAACTCTTTTCTGAATTAAATGGATTTTATAGGCTTGGGATGCGCACTTAAAACGGGATAAAAGTATCATTGTTGATTTGTTTACTGGACAGTTGCGTTCAACGCTTACTTGCTTAAATTGTGATGCAATATCATGCAGGTAAGATGGCTTATCATCTATTTGTCATCATTTTCAATGTTATAATTTCGTTTGAATACATGTTTTTTCCTGAAGCTAGTCATTTAGATTCGATGCTTTCACTTGCTTGCAACTTCCTATACCTATTGATCACTTGCTACTTATCTCGGTTGTTGGTAAGTTTTTCTCTACTTTATTGGTCATTGATTTTTTAAGTATTATTTTTATACTAAGAGTGCTAATGTAGGCATTGTTTATTGCAGTGGTTAAGCGTGACGGACAAATCCCCATACGTTATGCGTTTCGCTTAAGCTATGATACCACAATCGGCATATTTGAAAAGAAACTAGCAGAAGCTTCTAATTTACTTCCTAATTCATTTCAAATTCTTTGTTTGAATCGTGCGGGCCAAATGATGGTATTTTATAATTTTGTCATATTAAATTTTTTGTGATTTTATTTAATATTGGCAATACGCCGGGCATCACCTATCCATTTTTTTTATTATTTTGTCTTTTGATCGTTGATTTTTTTGATAATTTAGCAAGAAGTTAGCGAATCAGTTGGCGATGATAACAGTTCCATTAGCGCTTATCCAAATGATGCATTGCTTTATGCATTTGAACTACCTGCTCAAGAAGATCAATCAAATTCAGAACATTTCATAGCAGCACCAACAGTTATTGCCGCTCATCGTAAAATGGTAGTTCTTTCAGTGCAAGAACAAATATTTGAGCAGATTTCGTTTTTATCATTTTTACTTATTAAATACAGCTAAAGAGTATTAGTTTTGTTATATCTTTGTTTGGCAAGTATGATAATTAGGTTCCATTCTTAGAGTGATGGTATTTGATCGTATGCTGGGATATAACTTCATGTACATTGGCAAAATCGTATGATATATTCATAAGTGTGGTAGTGTTAAATTAGATAGTTATTTTTTGCTGCTATAGTTGTTTTTTTCACAATTCATATTATTGCTTTATTTTTTTAATAGATATTTCTTGCATATTTTTTATTGTAATTATAGCAATACAACGACTCATATTTGCTTGGTGCAACACGTGGTTGTACTCCTCGTGTTTTTGGTGTTCCACTTATTTTACGATTCACACCGGTTAGTTACATTTTTTTTCAGACAAAAACTTTATTTCTCTGATAATATTAATCAGGAATAGATATATGAATACTGTGATGTTCTGGTTAATAGTATCGAACATTAAATTTGGTGTTCATTATTGCCTTCATGGATTTCTGACAAGAATTTCTGACATGGATCTGACGTGGAACTTTCATGGATTTCTGACAATGTATGGGTATGTTTAACTTTATCTTTTCATATTTGCAGGGCAAAACAACTGGTAGTAAGTTATATGAAGAAGTTTGGCTACATGTTTCACGGTTCCTAAAGAATAGTAGTGCTGGAAAACAGCAACGCACTAGAGAAGCAAATCGTGCCATTGATGCGTAAGTTTATTTCAAAGAAATTTTACTCAGGATCATTCAATAATTCCGTCCTTTATTTCTTTCATTATGATGGGTTACAGCTAAGTTGCATGTCATCATGTTTTCAAATATATGATAATTTGAAATATGCATCACAGCAATTTGTCAATTATTGTTGCTCTTGTTTTGTATTAACATTATGTGATGTCTTGTAGAATTTTTAATTATTTAAAAATAATCCGCGAGTTTTTCCCTTCTTTTTTATTTTAGAGCGGAAGACATTCGAAACGGTTATCCATTTGATTTGTGTTGCGTGAAGTTATCATTCGAATGGTGTTCAAAATGTTCATGGCCAGCATTTTGTCGTGGTTGTGTAATTTTGAGTAACGATGAAATTATTGAGGATAACTTGGTAGCAGTTGCAATCGATTGGAAACCAACTGCTCTCTATCTACGTTACCAGCATTCTGTTGAATTGGTTAGAATTGAATATTTGCTACAGAAAAATATTATTTTACATTTACTGTCTTAGTTTACTTTTTATCAGTCATCATGTGTCGCTACTATTTTGACTATTATTTAAGCTATGCCGAGATGATGGGTCAGTTTTACAAGCTTGGGAAGTACACTATCGACCGTGTTCGCTGCTTTCATGTTTGAATGATTTCATGCAAGCGGAACGTTTAGACGACGAGATAATGTGTAAGCCATGTGGAAAAAAATGTCCAACAACAAAAGCTCTGGCAATTTGGCGCTTACCTAAAATATTGGTTTCTTTTTATCATTTGGCATGCAAGTACAATTTCAGTTTATAAATCTTGAGGAAACTTCTTCCTTTTATTTGTTCCAGAAAGTGTCTAATTAGAGAACAAAGTCCATGAAAAGATTAATTTGGTGATTGACATCATGACCTCTTAAAACAGATATCGTCCTATCATAAGCATAGTTACTTCACTGAATGATTAACTCCCTATGATCATTTTTGTCTCCACAAGCATGACGCCTGAGCCTCCTCATACGAGAATTTCTCTAAGTATTACAGATTATACACTTCAAGAGATTTGTTTGCGTAAAGTCTGAACGACGATGGATGAAATCTTGTAAGGTGGTCGATTTTCCGTTGGAAAATTTGGATCTCAGAGAATGGCTTCGAGATCCTGACGTTAAGGAATCAACTAAATACAATTGTTTTGCTATTGCGGTAAGCTTGGAACATACACGTTAAATCATAAATAATTTTAAATTCTTTTTTCAAATTGCATTTAGAAAAGTAATTAGCTTTTCTCAAACATTTACTAGTTGTGTTTGCTTTTCAGAACCACTATGGTGCTATGGCTTCAGGCCACTATGTTGCTTACGCTAAGAATAATAACCAGTGGTTTAGTTTCAATGATAGTCGTTGTCAGGTAAATTTTTGATAATATGCTGTATGAGAAGAGAATTTCATCTTAAAATTTATTTAGTATTATGAATCAGTTATATTCCAGGCAGTGAAGGAATCACAAGTTGATAAAAAGAGTGCTTATCTATTGTTTTATGAGAGAATGGATTAGCTGGAATAAGGATGCTAAATCTTATTGGTATATCATTGCAGTTAGTAGTACAACTAGTCCTGTTTACTAACATTTTATACATTATTGTTTTAATTAAAGCAACTTTATTGTCAGTGTTGTACAGAGGAAACATTGATTGCCCTATTTTATTTTGCTTAAAAATTTTAGTTTCATTCCTACTGCCGCATTACATTTTCCTTAGTGAGTTAATGTCGCAGCACATCGTTATTTACGTGAGAAATTAGAAAAATTTTTCCTTAGAAGATAAAAGATCTTTCT